TGCGGGAGCCGTATCCTCGCGGAACTGCCGGGGTGTCCCGGACTGGCAGATGTTGGTTGATTATCTGGGCCACGCAGACGAGGTCGCGGGCGTCTTGGATGGTCTGGCGGATATGGTGAGCGATGTCGACGAGATCGTCCGATGCCGATGAGGCGGAGGCAACAGGTGCAACTGGGACGTTGATCCAAGGGTTGGCCAGAGCGCCTGGGGCCGAAGCGAGATGCGATTGGATGTTGAGGGTAAAGATGAGGCCGGTGTGGGCTCCCTTTGCCTTGGCAGTTGGCGAGAAGGCCGACTACGAGCAATTAGTGTCGAAACGGGAACCCCTGGCAAGGGGGGGGGGCAATGGAATTGAGGGTCCTGTCTGGGTGGCTGTAAGGCACCGTACCTGATAGATGAACGCCATCAAGAGGTCATGTTCCGTGACTCGAACCCCCCTGCTCTGCGCCTGAGCCATCCACTCATCGATTCGCGACTGTGGCACGAAGAGCATTCGGCGCACGCGACGGGCGGAAGTGGGACAGAACGCCCAAAAGCGTTGGCGGAGATACGCCACCAAGAACCTTGCCCAGCTCACCTGAAAACCTTGCGAATAGCGAACGGCAATCGGGTGGTTCGGCGTGTCGTCGTGGACGGCCGCGGTTTGCCCGGCCTCGATCACCTCGGGTTTGAGGAAGAATTCGGGTCGAATTGCAGTGTCCCCTCGAACATGCGTGCCTGATAGCAGCGCGCAGTACGTCTTGGCAATCCAGTGAATTCCTGGAATCAATTAGCAACAAGAAGCACATGGCGTCGGAGGCTGCGAGGACAATTAGCGTACCCCCGGCGTCGGACAATGCGTGTTGAACGATGAATTGGATGACACATGCATCGCGCAGATGCACTGTTCGGATGGACAGTGCCTGTCGGCCATCGTGCTTCCCTCCCTTGAACCAAACCAGTTTCTCCAGTATCTGGGGGTAGTAGAAGACAGGCTCGGGTTCGGCTTCGGTCGAGCACAATTCAGCGGTGTTCGACGGTACAAACTCGTCCAGGCGCAGATTGACTGTCTTCGCGCGAAAGATTGTCCCGAGCTTGCTGGAAGTGCAATTCCCCTTAACAAATTTCGAGCGCTGCGTGACCGTGTGAAGTTAGCATTTACTTACAAAAGTAAATGTCGCTCCTGTGGCTGCGCAAAACCCGCCTTTGTATTTAATCTTGTACCCAGGATCGGATATTCCGTAATCATTTGTCGTGTCGCCGCCAGACATTCCTCCGGCGTCAGTTTGACCGGCAACGCAACCGTCAGATACACCTCGAGCTGGCGCGAGAAGGACAGTTCTAGCGGTGAGAGCTCCATTTGCTGCTCCAGTGACCGCTCGGAGCTTGGTGGTGAGCATGACACAGTATTGTCCAAAGGCTGTTTCTCCATCATCATCAAGATCGTGATCGATGCAATCTGGCATCTCTCGTCTTTCCTCCTAGCCCCGCTGAAGATGCAGACGGAGGTATATGTACCCTCTACTCCGTACCTCCGGGCAATTCGCCCGATGTGGGGTTTTACCCTACGCGGATCACGACGCAAAGATAGTTAATGAATAGGTTCGATAGTCTTCGGAAAATTAAATCGCGATCGTCAGGGCGCCGTAATTGTAAATCTGTCCTGCACGCGAGGAGAGCCAATAGAAGGCTGGCAGGGTTTTTCTAGCATCTTAAATAATGGGGTTGAGGGTCTAGAGTTTCCATTTTCCAGACATGGCTATTTTCATCCTCTGTTTACGCCTATGTTGAGGCTTCTGATGTATTGGTTTTTCAAATCTCCATGAGAAAAAATGGATTCAGCCGTCTGGGCCTACGCTCGCTCCCGAGCCAGCCCTATTATCGCCCTCGGTCGCATCTGTGATTCTTGATGCGCATCAGGAGTTATCGAGCCATGATCCGGATTAGGAAATTGATCATTCAGGGGGAGCAAAAAGCAGGATCTGCGGTGTCGATCTTCGGGAAAAGCCAAGGAAGATAACTCGAACCCTTCGCTTGGCGGGCCAAGTTGCGCGTGGTGGAGCCGCCCGTACCGAATACGATCAGCAGTTTCTACGGCGAGTCACGACGCGGCCCGAATCTTGATTCCGTGGGCGACGAAGTTGAAATCGATCCGGTGTGGGGTCAAGGAAATTGGACGCCATGTGGAACTGTCATGCAGCAGCCGGCTCCTTTCTCCTCGTGGCTGTAGGCAAAAAAAAAAAAAAAAGCTGAAATTGTGCTACAGCTCGGCTCGCTGGTAGCCAAACTGAAATGCAATGATCTTACCCAAGCAGTCACAAAAGAATCAGGGAGAAACACATACTAAAGGGGGGATTGGCTTGTGGTGACTAGGTACCCACCCAAGTGCTAACCTCCCGGCGTGTGGCTTGAACGCGGCCAGAACGCGCGTAGGTGTCATTCATTAGGGCTTACTCTCTGACAGCTTGGAACACGAACTTAAGCTTCGGCACCAGGTTCGAAAATGGATCTATGAGACCATAGTTGGACGTCTTCAACTCCTCCAACGGATTCCAGGGAGGTATGCAGAGGCAAGACAGCACGTTCTCGTGGTGGAGCACAACGTTTCAACAGGCGAAGTCTCAGTCACAGATTAAATGCAGCGGGCTCTGATGTCTCTGAAGGCATTAATGGTCACCAGGCCCTCGACAAAGTTGAGAGTCAGACCTATCTCTGTTTAAGGTTCTTTTCTTGTGGATAAAGATATGTCCGTTCTGGACAGGAATTCGGCCACTGATAAATATTGGTAAAAGCCGAAAGCCTAGCAAAATACATCTACCCGCGATAGGCGTGTTGCAAATACTAGAGAGAAGCAATAAAAGCATATGATGGCTGCTGGTGTTGGGAACGTGATTTTCAAGCCCTAACCACCGCACGAGCCACTTGGAAGGATCAAACTCTCATATTCTCCGAGGAACGACACTAGAGGTTTACGATCTTGAACTTGCGCATATCATATCATGTCGTACGGAATCCAGGGAGAATCGCTACGAATGGAGTTGATTTCACCCGAGAATATGTGGGATAGTGGAAGGTGGGTGGCGCTAGTATCAAGATGCTATGGTCCTTGGAACGTTTGTGGTGTGTTAAATGATACCAACCGTTGATAGTACTAAGGCAAGCTGGGATCATAAATTCATTCTCGGAATTACAATTCCAAACAGAATCTTTTGAGCAGCTGTACATATAACAGTACTGCGACACAAAAATTCAAAAGATAATTCCCGCCTCCCGAAATCTCTCAAATGCTTCCAACCAGCCATCAACCGGATTTCGCTGCTCTGTAAATCCCACCGATCTCAACCTCTTGGAACTGAACTGTCGGTCAAAAGTGAGCCACCACCCAACAGAATCCAGCTGCTTCTTCCCCTCGCCAACCCCGCAGGTCAGTGCCTTCGGAGCCCCATTTTGAGCGAACAGATGGCGATATTGGTCGATATATTCACTTGGTTTCAGAGTGTCGTCTTCCGCTGGTCCCACCCCTTTCAGCCCGAACCAGGCCGCGATGCCCGGCCAGAGGTCGCTAGCGCTGACAGGCGTATCGCTATCTAGCATGTTGACGATCTTCCCACCACATGATTCTGGATGCAGTGCGGCATGGATTGCAATGCGACCGAGAATCTCACCCGACACAGGCGTATACAGCGACCGATACCCAGCTTCGCTCCCAGGGAACGGAACCTCTACCGCTTTGTCGGTGGGTCCTCTGTGATTATAGGCGTATAACGAAAGGTACTGCGCCCAGTGGAGAGCAAGGGAGTACGCGGAGCCGTTGGGGGAAAACCCAACCACGGCATCCGGACAGACCTCAGTCCAGGTCCACTTGCGATCCTTGCTGGCCTCGGTCAAAATCTTTCTGAACCACGGATATGCGACGGTCTTGGCGTAGTCTTCCGGCAGGCTGTCGGCCATGGATTCCTCGAGTGGTGGCTGGAAGACACCCTCGGGATTGTAGATACCGTAGCCCTGCTGATGTTAGCCTCCACTCCTGTTATTTGACTAAATGCCTACTTACTCTTGATCCGCCGGAATACACAAACGATCGAAGCGTTGGGGCGACGATGTTTAATGCGTCAGCTAGTCGCTGCATGATTCCACAGTTCTGGGTGCACTCTTGAGTGTAATCGTCGTTGAATGGCGCAAAGACTGATTCATCTTAGTATATCGTGTATGTCGTCATCGCAGCCCTGTTTCCGGCCAATGCCTACCGAAATAAAAGACGTGGGTTATCCCCTCCGCGCCGGGGACCTTTTCTTTGAGTTGCTTCGCCAGATCATCTGTGCTTGTTTGTAGCAGATTGATCCCCGAAACTAGCTCAAAAGAAGGTCTGTTCGGCCCTGAAGGCAAACAGAGGTCGGGCTCTGCGACGGGCCGATTGAGCACCGCAGTGATACGAGAGAATTGGCCTGGCGAGGGGTACTCCGAGAGCAGCTGGTTCAAGGTCGCCCATCCGAGCAGTCCAGCTGCCCCGAAGACAATGGCATGAGACCCTGTCGCCATTGATATTATGTCGTCAAGTGTTGGGAGGATTCGGTTGGTGTCGTCGCACTTCCCCGCGTTGTGAGAATTTATTTAAGGTCTCGGGAATTCCAGGCGGGGTCTATTTTGGGGTTAGGGCAGCCCGCGCAGTTGGCGCAGTCAGAATGAATCATAATGAGATTACACACAATGAAACACAATATTCGATGGAGAATTGTGATCAACGAAAGTTTGCAGCATCCTCTCCGAGGTACAATACCTTATAAATTGTATGGTACGCGATGATCTTGTCTTGTTCCTCTCAGCGTGGCATATTTTGGAAGTTGTTTTCGGGCTATCTTTGGAATGCGGCTTTGTTCTGGATTAATTCTGGATGAACAGAATAGCATGCTATCATTGTTTGTACAGCGAGCTACCGGGCCTAATTTTGAATAATCCGATCTCTATCGTGGTTTTATATCAATGATTATTACTGCCCAACAGGCTGTTTCCTACTTAAACACCTACTCAACCTCAGCCAACCCTAACAAAAGAATCCCTTCGACCTCAAATACGCTAATAGTACAATATTTCGAGTAAAGCTAATGCAATTTATGACTAAATAAATCTGCCTAAGCTTAGCAGAATTAGTGAGATAAGAGAATACCATCAGAAGAAACAGCGCCATGAAGCTGATAGGGCTGCCGCGGGTCAAGATTCTGCGCCGCGTACATTCTTCGACACCCTGCCAGAAGCAGAGCGCAAATCCCGCATGAGCAATGGGATATCCCCCCGCGAACATAATCCCGTACACCGGGCTTCTCCGGTGTCCGAGCTGACGGGCCTGCCGCAGAAGGGTGTCGAGCTCTCGCAGCAGCCGTGACCGCAGCCCAAAGGCGTGGAGTGTCCGAGGGCTGCCGAGCATGCTGTGAGCCCACGATCCCGCCTGTGCTTGAAGCTTCAAAACGCGAGTTTCGATGGAGGCGTCCAGGCCGGCGGTGACCCCCATCACCAGCAAGGTAGCCGGGGCGATCCAGCTGCAGATGAGCGTCAAATTCCACTGGGTGGCGAAGGCCAAGCCCGCGGCGGATATGCACGTCGACCCGGACTGAAACACCAGGCCCAGCTTCTCGGAAATGCCGGTCTGAATGCTTCGGCCATTGGAGAGCGCCTGCGTGGCGATGGCGACCCCGGATCCCGCGTCGAAGAAGGCCGCTTCCTGTGTTAATCTCGCCTTGACGTATGCATGGCGGATGTTACGGGTGAGGCGGAACGCGGCCAGGGTGAGCAACGTGCTGTACCCATACGTCAGGGCAAACCGGGCAAGGCCAATGAGGAAGAAGGAGAGGCTGGTCGGCGGGCTGGTCAGCGTCTATCGATCCTCCAATGAACAATCTGCAGGATACCCTAGGCAAGGCCAAGGGTAGAGTAGGAAACTGACGGCAAGCGACTCGCGTCCCTTCGAAAGGCCTCGTCCGAAGACGCGCCCGTGGTATACGCGGTGATGAGGGTGATCAATCGGCCGAAGACGAGATTCACCAGTGCCATGCCAACGCCGGAAGCCAATGCGGCGGCGATCGCGACGACCTGCATGGTGTATTCTGTTGGAGTCGCATATCGAAAGATTCTCTATTCGGATCTTAGCGGCAATGGCGGAGTGTGGTGCACGAGGTCGGGGCTTTTCTTCTTTCTCCCATGCCCGAAAAGAGTTTGCATTGTGCTCGTGCGCTTCTCTCCTGGGAGCGTCTTCGTACTCGAGACCCATCTCTACCCAGCTGATGTCTTGTGAACACGGATCAGTTCGAATTTGTGCAGTTTCGGATTCTGCAAAGGGTTTGGCTGAGTCGGGAGAGAGACTATGGAACGCGGAGACCTGGGCATATTCGGCTACTTGTTTACAGCCTTTATATCTAAATCGAGACCCCTGACTCTCTAACGGGGATTATGTAAATTGTAGACCCCGAAAAGGTGAAGGTATGAAAACAACTTTGTGCAGAGTGGGGAGTGGGGACTCATTACATCGAAACAATGTTTTACATATTCATTCCATTAGTTCAATTTGAAGTTCAACAAGCGCAAGCCGCAGAACGCGAGGCGACCCAAGATGCAGAGACTTGTGGATCAATCCTATAAATCCTACCAATCCTTTCTACTCGGTGTTTAGCGCTGCTCTTGCGTTCCGCGGATCACGGCGGCTTACAAAGAGCCGAGATTCACTAACTAACTAATGTCAAGTTACTCTTTACATTCTTTCTTTCTTCCGTCACTTGCTCACTTACTCATTTACTCACTCATTTACTCACGTACTTATTTACCCACTTACTCAACTTTGTGTTTGCTCACTCTACTCACATCTACTTCAATTTTACTTCCTTCAATCATCCGGGAGGGCTAGAATGTCACCCGATCGGAGACTCTCTTCCTCCGGAGTTGTGCGGGCGGTAAGTCTATGCACATGTCTTCCTATCGTATTCTCATTCAGCCAGAATATGATGGACTTGGTAGACGGGGACGAGTGGTTTTTATAGATTATGTGGATGTTTAACCCTTCATTATTCCTTTGCTTCGACTGGCCATCCGTGGTCACCAAAATCCTCGGCGAGAGAGGAGTCGGTTTACGGCTGTAGTCATGTCCACCGGACTTCGGAGATTTTCTACTCTTTGCTTGTTACCGTGTCGCTAGGATGGCTCTGCGATTCAAGGAAGTCTGATCCGTGCGATGGGCGGGCGATCTCATCTGTTCTAAGGAAGGGAAAGAAAAATAGATAGATAAAATAGCTAACACCAGGTGCCGCAGTTGTACCGGGGTCCTCTCCACAACAACTTCATCGGAATGCCCCCATGAAATGTTGCGCAGTGTTTCAGTGGCATTGGAAAACACCTTCACTCCACTCCCAGCGCAGTCTTGATCAACCGACAGCCAGCATTGACTGTCAGATCCAGCCGGGAGGGCACGATGTCGGGATTGATCTCCACCAGGTCCAATGCAATCAGATTCCCCGATTCCTGCAGTCGCCTGGCAACCCGCACCCCTTACTCGAGCGACAGTCCCGCTGGCACCGGGAACCCGGTGGAAGGCGCCCATTCCGGGTCTAGGGAATCGATGTCATACGAGGCGTGGATCGGCGTGTCGGGGCCCAGATGATCCAGGGCGGCGTCCATGATCTTGTCAATTCCCAGCCTAAAGGAGTCACAGCAAAACCATTGTGATCATTAGCTAAGGTCTCTATATTCAGAAGTGGTTATCGCCGGCGGTTTTGGGAGTTGGGGCGCAGGAAAAGAAACAAGCACAAACCTACCGGTTCACATCCTCCATCGTAAAGGCCTTGACCTGATGACGGGCAATGAGCTCCTTCTCCGCCTCGTCGACATCCCGGAGACCTATGTAGACGAACCTCCGCAAATTGATGCGGTGGCTCGGATCCAGCTAGTCAAACACCCGCTCTGGGGCCAGGGGGCAAGGCCCGACGCGAACGCGACGGGCATGCCGTGGAGGCGGCCACTCCTGCTAGTCTCGGGGGTGTTGATGTCGGCGTGCGCGTCAATCCAGAGCACACCCAGCTCCTGCTGTCTCTGCTGCTGCTGGCCGGCGAATTGGTCGCGGAGGGCCTTTGCGGTCCCCGTGACGGTCCCCGCCCCGATGGAATGGTCGCCCCCCACCGTCAGCACAAACCGTCCTCGGCGAGCGTGCTGGTAGACTGCACTGCTCACGCGCTGCACCGCTGCACTCACTTCGCGCGGTCGCTTTACCCAGTCCCCCCTCCTCCTTTTCCTTCGCCTCTGTGTGGTCGGCGGTGGCAGGTACAGCCGCCAAGACATCGAAATCGATGGCCAGGTTGGCTTTGGTAGCGATCTCCTGAAAGACCCCGGTTTGCATGATCGCTTCCGGTCCCTTCTCGGCGCCGGCTCGAGGCTGCAGGAGTCATATCTTTCCCGTCAGTAAACCATCCCTCCCAGTGCGAATGGAGTCTTCTTCGGGAAGACTAGCTGCAGTTGAAGAACGCTGCAGTTGAAGAACACTGCATTTTTTTATATGTAATACCAGTCCCTGCGGGCTCGGCTCGAATGAACTTTAGCGGTCGAGGCGGCTCCACCCTCGCTTTCCACCCGCTCTTAAAGTTAAGTTTACGCGGTTTCGATCCCAAATTTTTAGGGTTCCGCGGTGATAAACGGATTCTATGCACAATCACAGTAGGAGGTCAAGAAAAGCAAGGTAACCGATATGCAGTTCACGCCCCCTTCCCCAAATTTACACAGAGGAACAACCATCTGATGCTCGGACCTTGCAACGCCGTCTAATCACGGCCAGCCAGCGAAGTACCTAAGTCTTGTAAAAGCCAAACGTCGGGAACATTCAGTCCCCGCTTTCGATACAATTGGTGAGCTTTGCGTCTCCCTGTGCGGAACGCCTCGCAAACCGTCGGGTGTGTGCACATAAAATGTACCATCTGGTCATCCGGCACCCCTTGTCAGATGAGAAGATAGTCAAGACTATCCTACAAACATGGTATCCAATTACACTGTGGAATCCTTCGAGGAGGGATAGATACCTTGTCCCATTCCCACAGTAGGCGGTCAGCGATAAGGGTTTCTGGCAGAGGGTTCTTGCGATTGACCTAAGCTGCCATGTCAGCATGCTTGTCATGATAAATAGAGGCCCTTCTGGAGCTGTCCGTGCCCGCATGCTGTCTGTTCACCTGCGGCTTGTAGAATGGCCATCACGTTTGACCAGACCCGTCCGGATCAATCTAACTCTATCTCCAATGCCTACTCTCATCCGTTAATACTTGCTTTAGTTACCTACGGACAAATACATTTCGCCACTGCTGGTAAATCAGGTCCTTTAATTATTCTTCTACCGATTTATCTGAAGAAATAGTCTGATGTCGGTGAGATCGTCTTTTCCGGACTCGAACTGGCTCGCATGTGGCATGAGCTTAATGGAACAGTGGATCCTGGTTGCTGCGGATTCGACTGCTTCCATTACGGCGAGTTCACGATATCATCACCCATAGCCGGATGAGATCTTTCGATCAGCGGGGTATTTCTGCTAGCTTCTCGGTCATCTATCCTTCAATCGGCAGTTCGTTCAGCGCCGGATGCAGCACATGAGACAATAGTTCAGCCACACTGTGGGGATTCGTGAGTCAAGTGGATCATGGTGGGGCTGCTCAGCTGCATTCTTCCCGGGGGATATCTTTGTAGGTACCATTGCAGTGGGACATGAACGCCACTCTCCTATACAGACACGTCTGCTATTCTGCAGATCACTCTCGAATTGATCACCGATCTACGAACATGAGTCGCTGTGCACAGCCGACACCGCTTCCCAAGGCCTGCTCCAGTACAGTACATAAAAACCCACCGAGTCCCCTCCCTTTCTCTTGCCTCCCTACTCGTGCAACAAAACTCTCCATTCTCACTCTTTCCATCCTACCAGCCCTTTCAAGCATCATGCGGCGAATGAACGACGACGACTGGCGGGAACTCGGGGTCGGCCTCGGGCCGCTGGGATGGGGCATCTACTACGCCTGTATGTACCCGCCCCACGGATCACCCTAGCTTCTCAGACGCAAATGCTAAGTTGTCCAGGGAACGCCTTCGCTGACAGCGATGACCACCCTGAATGGAGAACCGGGGTCAACATGACGGGCTGGACGCTCGCCTGCAACGACAACGATGATCTCGTCTTCCTGAAGACCGAAGGGTACACCTTTGCCTACTTTTGCCACAACAGCGCGCCCGGTGGCGCCTACTTCACCCTTCACGACTTCTCTGTTAAGTCGCGCGAGTCGGACGCTAAGTTTATGGTGATGCACCCTTTCAGTGGCGGCGGGTGCGATCGGGACCAGATGGTGGAGTGGGCACGACGCTGGAGCGGTTATGAGGTGACCGGAGACGAGAAGGAATATTATATGCGGTTGATCCGGGCAGCAAAGGCGGGAGAAGGGCAGGAGCAATAGATATTGCATAAATGCCTCAATCTGAATCTCTTCAAGGAGATGGCGAATTCTTGCCCTCCATATACATGTAGAACTTGCATATTTTTATGTACATATTCCGTATGTACTGTTAGGTCTAGCTACACAGTCTTGTATCTCCTGGTACTGGCCCCTATTACTCGGGCCACTCGGCACCCTGCACTATATACTGCACTACTACAATATCCGTCTCCGCCGCTGCCTCCTCTGTCCCGAATATCGGATATAGACACAGCCGGCTGGCGCCGTACAGGTATGCCCCACCATAAAATCGGGACCTCGGATCTTCGGCCTAATAGAGGGTTAGGCTGATCGATCGTCAGATCCCGGCTCATGCCATGTGTAGCATGCCAGCAAAGATCATGGACTGGAATGGACCACGCAAGTGGGAATCCTTGTTTCACCGCCAAAGGATATCTCGCACATGTAGAACGAGATGTCCTGCGATTTGTCAATGCGTGGCCTTGTCAGATATACCAATGAAAGCTTATTCGCCATGATGCGATTGGACACGCTGTCCTTACAACCTACAGCGTACGAGGCAGCCCCAGCTGGATTAGGAGTCCACCGGTACGATCCACCGCGATAATATTGACATTAGAGTGTTAGTATATAACAAGAGCGTCCTCTGTTCATACTCTCTTCTACGTGTCTATGTGTCACATGAACTTTCCCCAGGGTATATAAACCGACAGGACTTATAATCTTAAAATGACAGGTTTTAAAATGATTTACCTGAATTAGACGAGCAAGTATCATAAGGCTCGGGCCCCCGGTTGGTCGCGCAGGCATTTGAAACAAGCGCCGATTCTAGCAACAATTGTATAAAGTGAGGATGTACATCCCTTGGACCCAAGCAAAGTGAATTGTGGCGAACAAGATAAAAGGTGAGATATATTGTGGGAAAGAAAAAACAAATGCACAAAACATACAACAGAAGGGATTCGCTGGTGGTCACCCACCCAACTACTAACCTCCCGGCGTGTGGCTTAAGTACGGCTGAGCGGACGGGAAGCCCTGTTTTCCACACCCTGTGGTCGTATGTGCTCAGTTTTAAAAGGCTAAAGCTTGTATCCCACCCCGCAACAGGGGTTTTACCACGCCATTACTTGAAAACCGACTGTTGCTCAGCCCCATCCTTCATATACTGTACTTGACTGCACACTTAATGCTTCAGGCCGAAACTGAGTGTCATCGCCCAACCCTAACAACAACATGAAAAATATCATGGGCCTGTTCCACCCATCCAACCAACAAGGGCCCCAGGGCTTCTCTGTTAGTAGCGTTGATGAATGATGAATGCCAGAGGCAGAAGGGTAAACAGCAGAGGGAATGAGAGCAATAATAAAACCAAGTGTACAGCTATTTTGAGTGTTTTACGCTGCTGGGGGAGATTATGCGTAAGGAGATTAGCTATGATCAAATTAGATGGCACGGCGGCAGGCATAGTCCATCGCTTACTTAACCCAGAAAAAGAAATATACATGAAAGATAACTTCACCGACGAAGGCTTAGACATGGCTCTACAACTGACACTTGATTGGAGCAAAGTGACAGGGATTATTACCCACTGATGCAACACAGCCACAGCGCTAGCCTCGAGCAGTCTTTGGCGCCTAATCATCACCACTGAGCCAAAGTTCCACAAATTCTTCTCAAGCAAACTATTCATCGTGAGCAACATAGTGAGAAGCATTCCGAGAATGTCTGCTGCATAGAGTCTCATCCAGAACGCCTTCGATGCCGCAGTGCAGGAGTTCAAAGCAAACCTCAACAACGACGCAGTCTACCAGAAGATCCTCTCCGTTACCTCCATCGATGAAGTCTACGACCTTACCGATCAGCTTCAGGCCGAACAAGGCAGAAAGGGGCACCTGCGACACCTGGCCAAGATCGAGCCTTACCTGAACCGTCTCCGCGACTACGCAGCAGTAATTGAAAACTTTGTCCAAATCAAGCCGGAAATCATGGCCCTGATCTGGGGTCCGATCAAGCTGCTGCTCCAGTGGAGTAGCGTTCTCGCTCAGTCCTTTGATGCAATCCTTCAAATAACGGGCGATATCGGGGTCTTGCTGCCGGAGTTCCAGGATTGCGCGGTCTTGTTCGCGCAGAACAGTCGTATCTATGATCTGATGGTGCTGTTCTTCAAGGATATCCTGGACTTTTACCAGGTGGGGTTGAAATTCTTCACCATGTCGCGTACGTATAAATGGTGGGAGGCTAAAGGATCTGAGCTCAAATGTGATGCTAATTCCCGATATAGGATGGAAGTATTTTTTCGAGTCTGTCTGGCCTCGTAAGAGAGGCCGTATCAATCTGGTCAAGACTCATATCGAAAGACACTCTTTGCTTATGCGGAATGAAGTACGTCTAGAGCACATTCGCGAGGAACACGAGGCTCGATTGAAGGCCTTGGAGCATTTCAAAGCGGAAGAACGTGCTCAGCGACTACAGCAGTTTCATGTGATCAAAACCGATGTCAATCCGAGGATGTACGATGACAAGCTGAACTGGTGTCATGGTCGCATTTGCGACGGATCGGGCGCATGGCTGCTTAGGGACAAGGCTTTCACCCGTTGGCTGAATTTCTCGGCTGGGACGCCGCCCGTTCTCTGGCTTCAAGGCATTCCAGGTGCCGGTATGTGAACTTCGAAGGCCCCATTGTCTGCCGAAGAGACTGACACCCAGAGATTTTGTGAAGGCAAAACATTTCTTGCCAGCTTAGCTATCGATAAGACACGCACAGTAGCCCACACGGCCTTCGCTTTCCTGAGTCACACATACAGTAGCAGTACCTCAGCTCTGAGCGTGCTGCACTCTTTAATATTCCAGCTCGCAGGACGAAATGAGGATATGCAGGATGTGCTCTGCCATTCCACCCACGACCGCATCCGGAGTGATGTTACTGTTGCTATTGGGCTTCTCAGAGACTTATTGAATTGTGCAGGTCCCGCATTTTTGGTTGTCGATGGTGTGGATGAGATCGAAGAGCCTGAGCGTGGGATTCTCCTCAAGCAGCTTCTAGTCTTGTCGGAAAAGTGCCCCGAAACGCGGGTCTTCATCAGCAGTCGGCGAGAGAGCGACATTGCTGCCATTTTGGAAAAGATATCGGAGTCAATTCGAATTGACAAAAGAAACGAGGAAGGTATTCAGGCATTTATAAGTCAGCAGCTGAGACAGATGTTTGAAAGTCGTGAATTTCCACCCGACGTCCAGACGCAAATTCGCCAATCCATGGAGCCGCTAGCTTCAAAAGCCAATGGTAAGACAGATAATCGACCTGATGTATCAGAAAGGTATTAATATGGGATTGACCCGACCTTAGGAATGTTCTTATATGCCAAGGTTGTCTTGAGCAGTATTGAGCTGCTAGACGACGTCGCGGAGATTTGCGAAGAGCTGAGCCTTCTACCAGAAGATTTGGACAGCGCGTGAGTCTCGTACACGATGCTGCGAATAACTAATGCTCAAGGCTCACATGTGAAACAAACAGCTATGCTCGAATTCTACTTCGGATTAATAATCTACGACCGCCATCTGTCAAGGCAAAAGCCAGAAGAATTCTAGCCTGGGTGGGCTGCTCACCCACGCCGTTGACTTTGCGGGAGATGGAGCAAGCCCTGAGTATTCAGCCCGGCAATTTCAATGCAGGAAGAACATTGAGCGCAGCTCCAAATCTCAACAAGCTATGTGGACCAATAGTTGAGGTTACTGGCGAATACGTACAGTTTGTTCACTTTACGGTAAAAGAGTAAGCACACTGCAATGGTGGCGCTGAACACATAGCTAACCGACTCAAGATATTTCTTTAGCACAGACGTAACCGACCATATCAGTTTGATCGATGGAACTTTCGACTTAGCCACAACCTGCATTACGTATTTCTGTCAGGGATCTCACAATCCTGATGTCGTCAGCGATGACGATCAATTCACCCAGCATCTCATTGAAGGTAGTTATAGGCTGCACTATTATGCGCAAGAGAGATGTTTTGAAGTCCTTCAGATCTACCTACGCTGGTCGAATAATGCGAAGCCCCCCTCGAGCCTTTTTAATTGCCTCAATATGTTGATGGCTACGCTCAGGAATGATCAATTCGCGCTCGCGGCGGATGACGGACGCCTTATAGAAGCTTCATTTCTACATAACTTTGAAGCAGATCACCCAGAACTTTACCAGTTTCTGTACAACATCTATCGATTCCGTTATATGTGCTCACAAGAATCGTATCATCTCAATGAAGGTATGCCCCTTATCGCACAGCTGTTGGCCCGATGTGCAGATGATAATATGTCTAGAAACGAAATGGGTTGATTTCGATCCACTGGTATCATCCCAAGTATCAATTCGGCTTTATCAATACATCGGCAAAGTGCGGTGTACTTCCAGCTCTAACAATGCCGGATGCCAATTCGGACTCCTCGACCGTGTTTTCGGTTTACAGCCCTACAAATGCGGGTATTTAAATTGTCCTCTCCAACGCCGTGGGTTTGAGTCCAACGCCATACAAAAGCGGCATGAAGCCGAACATACTCGTGTTTGGAAATGTCCTGTTTCAGGTTGTGAGTATGCAAGAATTGGATTCTTGTCTGCGAACATGAGAGATCAGCATGCAATCAAAGCTCACCGAAAGCCAAATGATTCGATTGACATTCTTCACGACAGCCATATGTCACCCGAAGACGAGTTTGAATTTATCCTAGATCTAGTCAGGTCTAACGATGTTGAGGCTATCAATTCCCTCGCCCCTACTGAATTGGGGGCGAAACTTGGGTATGTATCCAGCAGCTCTTACAAACTCGGAAAGATACTGGGAAGAATTGGGTCTGCATCAATCGTGGGAGTACTTTTGCCATATGCCGAATCACAGTACATTTATTTGGAAGCTATACTGGCTTCGAATACTGACGTTCTCAACTGGCTAATTGATGCAAAAATAAAAGACAAATATTATGCACATTTACGATTTGTTTGCAGAGAATTCGCACGGTGCGATTCGGCAGAGATGCACGATATTGGCCGCAGATGGTTTGCAATGTCTCGAAATGCAGAATGCCAAGCCCCTCTCAAACTGTACGATGCAGTCATGAGTCAAGATGTGATCGGTGCTACAGCAAGCAAACCGGGCAGAGAGGACTTTTTAGTCTCACTGTGGGATTCGGTTTGGTCATATTTCAGTCAAAGTTGGATTTCACAGGCGTTGAAGAACGTTGCCAAGACAACTTGCTCTCTAAGACTCGGGCAGATCCTGATTCAACATGGAGCCAATGTTAATGGGATTGTCAAAGGTAGCAAGATTTTGGCACTCGAATATGCAACCCGAAGATCTACAGCGAAAAATGCCGAATTTGTCAAGTTTCTTCTGTTTCATGGTGCTGATGCACAGCCCACTTCAACCTCAGTTATTATATCCAACCAGATCGGGGCGAAGGAGATATCTCGTTGGCTTGGGACCTCGTGGGACGAATTGGTGAAACAGGCCAAAGCCCATATAGATGGGAACCTACCCGCTTTTTGAATATGCCACAAGCACGAATTTTCAACGAGGAGCAACGTTTGAATACGAGTTTCACACTAGTCCATGGTCTTGCAAGTATCATAAATGAGGGGATGGTCACAAATCCAATATTGAATAGCCAGGCAGGCAGCACAGAGTGCAAGATAAGTTTCTCATCGAATAACATTCTCATCAATCGCTCATCGGGTCTGCTGATGGTGCCATGCCCAGAAGATCCTGTAGCTTCTGAAACAGATTCAGTCATATGTATCAAGGAAGCACTCTAAAACGATACCCCACATACCTTCCACCGCCTATGGTCAAGATCTGCCTGACGTTGGAACGGAAGCCAACGACTGGTGGATGACTGCTAGCTTGTCTTCCTGGACCCAACGAACGTACTGAAACCCCATCAGCGCGGTTTGAAGAAGGAAAGGTACAGTCTATACATACATCCTCAATGGAGTTGGCAACGAGATATCTTGTGACCGAAACTTCGCGAGACTGGCCTATTCGATGAACTCTGTCAACTGCCTGTGCCTCTAGCATTGGGTTCCAATGAGGCTCCATAATGTGGACGGAGTTGGCTGCTGTCAGGTTGATGCTGTGAATCCTCCGTCAGCCGAATAAGCACGGAAATCGTATACACGTTTCCTCACCCTTCTCCGGCACTGCCAATACTGGCCAGCATCACCGTGCAGCTCTCGTCCCTCGTGAGTCGCTCAAGCGCTAGCCGGCGATCCGTTAAAGTCGACCCTCCATCGAGACGAACATAGTTGTAGTTATTGGAGTGGAGAACCGTAGCTATCAGATCTAGCATCTTGGTCCACTGACTGAAAACCACACTGTTGATCACTTAGTGAATTTGCAATTCTCGTTTGTAAGCGCGGAATTTTCGCGGCCTACCTTTTTACAGGCCTCAGACCTGATTGCGATGTGTCTCGTTGTTCCCTTTCCAAGTTCTTGAGTAATGCTATCGTCTTCGGGGATAAGTCAAAAGAAGACTCGTGACATTCCTCCATCGGCATTTGAGCAGGAGTGTCAGCTGTACATTCCGCAGCATCATACACGCCCCCAGGCTTGGCACTGCCACCAACAGCTTTAACACGAGCCGGTGAGCTTCGATTGTCGGAGGCAAAGTCTTCCTCATTCAAGCCTACACTTTCACAAGATTTGGTAATAACCGCATCTGCATCTCTGTATCGATTGCGCCATAGCTCGAGCGCGGGTTTAGGTAGCAAGCGCTCACCATAACCGCATATTAGCCGCAGGATGTTAATCAGTGCAAGGGTCGTATCTGCACCGGCTTGTTTTCCAGGATCCTGAGCCTCACCAGAGAGCTTCGCTGCCGTCTTGGATGCTTTCGCTTTGAAATAGTCATATATTTCCCGATCTGCGGCCGTCAAGTGAACCAATTCGGTTTTTTCAACCTTTTTCGGCAGCTGAAGGGCGGAATCGAGCGTCTTCTTGGTCCGCCGGAAAGCTGTGGCAGCCACGAGCGCTTGGAGTGTCAGGATATAGCCCGGTTGCTGGCGCTTCACCGGCGATGCAATCCAATAATCAAATGCGGACTTGGTCTCCAGGACCGGCATCTGCATGAAGCTCAAGAGGGCACCATAATCGTCGATAGAGCTTTGGATTGGTGTGCCGGTGAGACACCATCGAACGTGCGCTTTCAGGGAGCTCACTGCCTTGAACACCTGTGAGGACCGGCTTCGGATACGATGTGCTAGGCTGAAGTCAGATCACAACAAGCCCTATATCATATCTTCATCTCAGCCACTTCATCATACGCTTACCTTCATCTAGAACTATGCGATAGAGTCTCTGTGCTTAAACCATCCTTTGTCCGCCAATCCTGGCGTATGGTATCATACGTTGTAATGACAAAATCGTACTCGCGTATCAGGGAAGGTTTGACTTTGCCTCGGTTTGCGCCATGGTATATGAAGTACCGAAGTTGGTTATGTTTGATGTGTCTGGGCCCAAGGTCAGCTGTGAAACAACAACATGCCAAGTGAGCGCCTACGTTTTGATCTGTTTCTCCCAGCCCGGAATAGCTTTGAGTGTCAGTCCCGACTCATTGTAAGCCATGAAGTATTTCAACTTACTGCTCTTCGGTGTAATGATCAGAGTCGCCCGAGGGCTGTCGAGAGGTGATTGTAGACAATCTATGGCATCGAGGGAGCAGCAAAGTAATGATAGAAGACTCAGTGTTTTTCCCAAGCCCATGTCCTGTACATAGGTCAGACACAGTCCCATTGCAGGGTACAAACCACTAACTCACATCCGCAAGGATTCCGCCACGCATCGGTCTAGGGTCTGTGTCGATAGTCCCCGTGATTCTATGCCGGTATCTGCCACCAGTCAGCGGCTATCAGCGATCCTGACCCCCTAGTGCGGCTATTGACGTACTTGTGGCCCTCAATTCCTTCCCAGATGGAAGGGAACTTCAGACCGTCCAGTTTTCCGGACTCCCTTTCCATCATCATTGCTATTGCCACTTCCTGGTGACTGCAATCGAGGAATCAGTGTTCAGCTCGGCTACCAACACGAATATCTCACTTACGGTTTCAGAATCGACGCCAACCTTGGACTGGAGCAAGCTTCATAGAACCCATCATAGGTGCTAGCCGTGTCGAGGATCCGGAATAGCTCACTCTTGACCCCTTCATTCAACCTCTCCAAAACCTGCGAGCCCTGCTCATCGTCGGAAATCCTGAGTTCATCGATTCGAGGCATCTCACCCCCAGGTCGCAGAAGATACTGTGGGTTCACATATAGCAATCTGGGGTCATACTCCACGCTTGTGGGATGTTGCAGGTACATGCCTGCGTCCGATAAGCAGGTCCCGACCGAATCTTTGTCATTGTTACTTCCGTAGACAATAACTCTCAGCTCTGGTTTCTGACATTCCCTAGTCCCAGCTTCTTTATCGATTAGAGCGGCGAACAGTGTGCCGACCAATCTGACACGATTTTGTTTCAGCAGGTCCACTAGCGCAGGCATAACGACGATGCCTGCATACTTCTTCGTATCCGTGAAGGACAATTTGACGACCCCGCCAAGGGTTGTCAAATCGACGCGGGCTGACTTTCGGTTTCGACTTTTTGTCTTTCCGTCGTCCTTGAATGTGGAGGTGGGTTCGAGGATGAGCTAGGGAACGGTCAGCTTGCGACAGGAAATAGATGGAGACAGGCGTTTTTCTGTGTGTACCTCTCCAAAGCAAGTGTCCCATGTCACTGCGTCCGCTGATTGAACGCTTATGACGGGCTCGCTTTGACATTTATTGAGACACGGCCGGTACTGTTCCTCGTCTGCATCACTCGTTGGTTTCTTTGACTTGCCCATGATCTTGGGTTGAAGCTCATCTGTACCCGGACTGGTACCGGATAACTCCATTTTAGTTGCGTTCCAGTTAAAGTCAGGTTTGATCGATAGATCCTGGACGTCAGAATTTCCCGTGAATTCCAGATCGGGGCTAAAATTCTGAAAATCTGCTGGGCCTTGTTCGCACCCCGGCAACTGGTGGGCCAATCGCATGTCCGTTATAGGGTAAGAAACGCCTTGTTGTCCTTACCGACCGATATGATGTTAGCCTGAGCGCAGGAAGTGCTAGAGACAATTCGTTTCTCCCACTCGAGAGACTTACCACTCTGACCCAAGTCCTGCAAAGCTGGAGCATCAAGAGCGCCCTGGCGATCTTCCACGTCCAACCCCAGATTATCCCCCCGCCATGCATTCCAATTGCTGTCCAACATATTGATATCCACCTCGTGCGACGGATGAGATGCCAAGCCTGAGTCCCGGATTAGTGCCCCATACGGATCCTCCACCCGTATCTCCGGATAACCCTGTTGTGGCCAAATCGAGCCGCCCACGTTACACCCGAAAGGGTCTGGAAGGTCATCAAACGGCTGCTCTCCGAAACAGTCGCCATTTGGAGTAGTGATAGCATGAGTGAGACTCTCTGCGGGCGTCTCGGAGCAAGCCCGCTTGCTACTTATGCTGCTCCCATCGTTATCATCGTCATCGTCAGGCAATAGGCGCTTGCTTGCTGGTCGCGACAAAGCCATCGGCACTATCCTCGACAGCTCTCGAAATCTCCGTTTTGCGACCTGCTCCACGTAGTCTGGGGAAATGTTGAGTCGAACTGTAGGAAGTAGGGGCCAGATCTGGCTTTAGTAAAATGCAGGTTCGTTTTCAGCTCAACCGCTGTCTGACGCACCACGCCTGGCGGTGGTCACAGCCACAGCAGGGATCATGCTGACCAGCACACACATACAGGCAACCAATCAGATGGCTGAGCGTCGAGGAAGGGTTGACTGCGCCACGCCCTGGCTGGATGATTGGGACATCGCACTCTTCAATGTTAAAATCAAATAATACTAGATATGACTAACAGTGAATTACTCGGGATCTGTGCCATTCATTTTACTTTTTTGTGTTCACTATTACTTTCAATGCAATGTGTATAAATGTGTTCAAAACCGCCCAGTTGACCGCCCGTGTTGCTTCTTTGGTCTATATTGCCTGTAAGCGGCTTTTTGAAGCTCGAGAATGGACCATGTGGAACGATTTCTCGATTCCTTGGTGGTTGATTATTCGATGAACTAGCTAAGCTCTCAAGGTGGGCAACTCGCTTGGTGCGATCACGTGGCCCGGATTGCCCAGAAACGCCGATATTACGCAACCCCCTCAAACTAAAGAAATCACCATCACTTCAATATAATCTTTTCTTCTTCTTTTGTTCTCTCTTTCTGTTTCTCCTTCTCTTCTTCTTTAATCTCCGCCATCCCAGTGCAATCATGCAACTCCATACCCATTCCAGCTTAAGCACAGCTCTGGATGAGTTCTAGATCTCCTCTATCAACTTGCAGCATTGGAAGAAGACAAGATCATCCGACTAGCAGGCGTACGGCGTCCAGAATCCGCAATCAATGCATCCGCCGCCCGCTCTGCTGGCTTTCCTGATGGAATACTGAAATTTTGGCGGTCGAGTCGGCACCCTCGCTGCCGATTCGGTTCAGGCGGCGCGCGGCACTAGCCGAACCTGCATCACACGCACGTTCTTTTAGGGTTGTAGGAGACGGGGGCAATCTCCACCTGGAGACCCTGTAGGGCCAGTTACCAACCCCCAGGGGGGACCGGGAGATGGAATGCTGGGGCTGCCGAGTGTGGCGGGTAAAGTTTCAGCCGCGGCACCCAACTCGGCAGTGGAATGGCCGTGACCCCCTTATCAGATCGCCCTAAAAGGCTTATCCCCTCCTTGGTCCGGTTCAACCCTGGAATTTCTCGCGGGATCTATGATGGCGGACTCAAAAGAGAAAGTAACGCTGACCACTGGGTCTGTTGATGCCAAGAGCGAACCAATCTCGCAGTCACAGCAGATTGAACCCGGCAGCACGCAGCCACCTAAAAATGAAGCGACCACAGAGCCTGCCTATCCGAAATGGTGAGCAGACCACCCACCACTTCGTTCCAAGTTTACTATTCTGACAGGTCAGGCACTACGTCGCCATTGTGGCAGCCAGCTGCCTCATCATGATGACCACCTGCTCCTTCGTCTTCGCCTTCGGAGTCTACCAATCCCTGTACGAGGAGATGGCAGCGCAGCCCAACACCCCCTTCACGGGCGCTTCGACGGCGCTCATCGATCTCATCGGCACTCTAGCCATCGCGCTCATGTCCATGGCCGGACCCTACGCTACCGCCTGGTCGAAGCAATACTCGCCGCAAGCCGTCATCATCGCCGGTGGCTGGGTTTTTGGGGTGGCCTACATCCTGGCCAGCTTCAGCCGAGCCCTATGGCATTTCGCCCTAACGCAAGGTCTTCTTCTCGGGGTTGGATGCTGTCTTGCCTACGTGCCCACCATGTCCGTGGCCCCGACCTGGTTCAGCGCCCGCCGCGGCCTGGCCATGGGAGTGATCATCTCCGGCACGGGGATAGGCGGCATGATGTGGCCACCGGTCCTGCGGGCGATGATCTCGCACATCGGTTTCCGCAATGCCCTCCGTGTGTCTGGCTGTATTGCCACGACCATCGTAACGGGCGCTGGTGCCGTCCTACGCTGGGAACCACGGTTCCACGCCAACCTGAGAGCCCGGCAGCAGGAGCAACTCACATCCAACCCCAGCAGCACCTCTTCCAGAACGCAGTGGAAGCAGCTCCTCACCGTCCCCCTCGTCGACCGCACCACCGCGTTTTCTGCACGTTTTCTCGCGCAAGCATCCGGCTGCTTCCTGCAATCCGCCGGCTACACGACCCCGCTCTTCTTCTACGTCGCCTTCGCCCAGACCCTGGGCTACAGCACCACCACGGCCGCCACCTTCCTGACGGTGAGCAACGCCTCGAACTTCGTCTCGCGGATCGTGCTCGGCTACCTCGCCGATAAATTCGGCCGGATCAACGCCCTCGCCGCGACCACGCTCGTCAGCGCCGTGGCGGTCTTCGCCTTCTGGCTACCTGCCACGTTTTCTCCAGATGACGGGGTCTCTGAAGCAGCTGCGCGCGGCTGCTTCATCGTGTTCACAGTGCTGTACGGGGCGTTTGCGAGCGCGTACATCTCGCTGTTCCCGGCGTCGTTGGTGGAGGTGTTCGGGGTGGAGAAGTTCACGAGCGTGAACGGGGTGCTGTATCTGATCCGGGGGATGGGGGCGCTGGTGGGCACGCCGTTGGTGGGGCTGTTGATCCCCGAGCGCACGGCGCTGGTCGAGGCCGGGGCGTATCGGCGGGCGGCAGGGACAGTGGGCGCGTTGCTGATGGCGGCGGCTGCGGCGTGTTTTTGGGTAAGGTGGGAGATGAGAGGTAGTGATAGGGGGTGGAGGGTGTAGTTTGTGAGATACTCGGTATAATACGATGAAATGACTGTTCGTGCACATTAGAACGATAGAGATCGATTAACACTAACCTATAATACAGCCCACCATATTATCATAACTAAGGTAGGACTTGGATTGAGGTTGCCAGGAAGCTGAAAGAAAGGGGGGTCTGGAAGTTCTCCCCCAGATAGCCACCTCCCCACCCCATGGCAGATATTATCCCCAATGAACCACCACAGACTGACCCAACCCCCATAATCCCATCTGCATCACCATAGAAAGCTAACCCATAACCCCAAACAAGCACGAAGACACCACCATCCCCAGCACGACCCACCCGCCCATCGAAACCTTGTGTCCGACCACCGCCGCACTCTTATCAGAGGTACTCGTGCTACTCGCCGCACTGCCCGTGCTGGAGCCTGTCTTCCCTGCTTTGCCGGTTTCGGTGGACGAGACCTTCGCTGTCGCGCTGGCTGTGAGGTTCCCGCTGCAGAAGGCCTCGGTCACGGCGCCGTTGTCCTGGAGACAGCTCAGAAGGGTCTTGACGGTCTGGTCCTGCGCCAGGCAGTACAGGCCGCAGTCGTTGTCGTATTTGGTGACGGTCGCGGGGGAGCAGCATTTGTCCATAACGGAGGAGAAATTACCGGAGTTGGGGAGGGCGCAGGCTGCGTCTTGGACGGGGAGGACGTAGAGGTTGCCCGTGCAGGTGGCGGCCGCGGCGGAGCCGGTGGTGGTTGCGGTGGTGGTTGCGGTGGAGGTGGACATTTTGGTTGCGGTTTTTCTGGGGGTGAGGCTATTTATTTTGGTTTCAAGGTATTGGCAAGGTAAGCGAGTGCGTGTGTTCGTGTTTGTAACGACTGATTGTTGTCACTACTGCTGTAACGTAATCGGTATGGTAGATCAACGACCGTGTGTTCAAGCCGACGGATGAACGAGTAAGGAGAAATAAGGTGCAGGAAACAGGAGAGTTGAAATCCGCAGGCAGGGAAGAAAGACAGCGGATTAAATACCCTTATCCTTACAGCAGTGATCAATCACCCCATAAAACTTGATCTCCCCACCATTCACTACTGCGCCCCACCCGCTGACCCTATATTTATCCACAACCTGCCGTCATTGGGCCCGGGCCACGTCAATCCCTGCTATTTTCGGGGTCCCGCGGCCACAACCTTGGAACAACTATCTGTGTGACCCCGGATCGACTCTGCTGGTGTCTCACCATTGTGTTGGCCTTTTTTGTTTTTATTCTTGAGGGGTGCGGTTAAGTCACTCGGTTCAGTTGGATTAGGATTTCATCGTCGGCTGTTAATCTACTATGTGTACATTATTATCTTTGATTTTAGGTTTAGTCTATGTTGACCATGGTCTGCTACCGGGCCTTTGTCCACTTCTAACCGTTCACCTGTGTGAGTTGTCTTACTAATTGTACTCGAATTATCTTCTTTGTGCTCTCCTACCAGTATCCCCAGTCTTCAAGCTTTGTATATTCAGCTGTTCTATTGGCACATCAGCAAACTCATCATGATGAATACTGCGTTTGACATCTTAGAGCAGCCATTTAGGGTATTTTTCAAGCTAATCAGACTGTTTATACTGATTAGATGTTCCTCAATATATTTACTTCTGCTATTCTTCTCAACTACTGCTTAGTATTGTAACAGGAGTGCTTCGGAACATGGCTGACGGGGACGTTTAATATTAAGCAGGATATGAACATGTACATATTTTGCGGGGTGTTAGCGAGACTAGTGGACAAAACGCGGATTGCGAGCGTGATCCTGAGGCCGGACCGTGGCGGGGCAGAAAGCCCCTTTAGAAAGTAAATCTCTTTATCTAGTACATACAAAGACACGTATTCGCATCTTTGCCACAGATCTAGGTGGTATTTCTATGAGAAGATTATCTGATATCTATTCTATCAAAGTCAACCCAATTTACATATAGAAGCTTATTTTACCGACTCGATTGCTTATTTGTACAACTAGATATGAACAAGGTCAGAGGTGACCGTTAATGGGGAGATTGATCCAAAATTCTGTAATTTTACACCAGTCCAGAATCAATCACTACAGGTCTATCTTTGAGTTCACGGTTCGGACCCGCTGTGAGCGGAGGGGGCTGTGGACGGACATGGTAATAAACATCAACATGCTGTCGCCTACAGGCATGCTGCGACTGTGCCCAAGACTCAGCAAGCGGGCTGGTCGCTTAAAATATCCAGCGGTTACTCTCTAGGCATCTGGCCGCGGACCAGACCACGAGGCTGCCTGCGCAGGTGCGTCTTTCACGATAAATGATTATGCATAACAGCATGCTCATGGGCACGCGTGTGATTGTGGCACCCCGCAAAGTAATGCTTGCAGGGCGGGAATACTCGCAAGAAGGGAAGTATCAGATGATTGCGGTCTGTCAATTCTGTTGCGTCAAATCGTTGGGCGTAAGATGTCCCCTTGACCAGAGATCTGCGACCTAGTACCGCTGGCTGTTAAATGCAGACACTCTGCTGACGTCGACCACAGCCTGTTTTCATATCAGAATCGCGTTGCAGGACGAGGTGAGAAATGTTGGCTTGCGGATCGCCAGCTGAGGAACTCGAACAAACAGGTTTTGTTGCTTATGGAGGATTAGTGTTTACTGTGTCGCAGGCTAGGAAAATGTACAGAGCCCAGTAGAGTGCAAAGTCTTCGGGCAGGAGTTGTGCTGTACCTCCGCGTCAAACTGGAAGCTCGGGCACATGTAAGTAACATAGGATCTCTGGTCGAGAAAACCAACCCTTTTCCCTTAACCCCGAACCCCACCGGATGGGGAGTCCAATTCCAGAACGTGCAAATTCTCCAATATGCCAAGGCTGTCCGAAACTAAAGGTATTGACCGAATCTCGCCCATATGTAATCATCCACTTATTTCGTACAAGATTATGCTCATACATACAACTCATACACCCCTCGTGCTCGTAAATCTTCATTGATATGGATTGAGCCGGTTCCACACTGAACGATTAGGAGCTCCGTTGAGGTATTGCGGCACCTTGAACGTTCAGTTTCGGTAGGCCTGCTCCTGCTGCAGTTGTTGAACTTCAAAGCTAGTCTCGTCGCCCGTGGTCTCTAGACAGTCCCGCGCACTGCTTGGTTAACTTGTGTCCCTTGAGGGCCACAGCTGTCAATGCGTGCTTAATACTTGCATGTATTCTCGAATTTCTCTAAAGTGGCGATTCCGGACTTTTTGGCACCCTATCTAGTTTGATCCGAGTAATTCTCCAAAGTGCCAAGCCACGGGATACCCCTCATTTCCCTCCGCAGCACTCGGTATTTCAATCATGTCAACGGCCTCCGGCCAAAGTGATTGCAGACAAAACCGCTTCAATCTACCAGGGCATCAGTTGCTCAACCACATACAATCATGACAGCGCCCAGTCCCGTCGACGCACCACTTCACATCCTCGAACTCCTCGCCGACCTCCACCAGAGGTCCCTGGACCAAGAGGCTCTCCTCTCCAAAACCGGCAAGGTCTTTTCCTCGAGCATCCTGAGCGAGCTCCAAGATCAGGACCCTACCATCACCACCACCCCAGCGAACCCCAAAGAGCAGTTTGACCGCCTCATGCTCGACAAATTCATCGCTCTGGACCAAGATAAATGTCAATTCACCTACCAACTGGTCACTGCAATGGGCGCCACGAACATCGTCGAAGCCGGGACCAGCTTCGGCGTCAGCACGATCTATCTGGCCCTGGCAGTTGCTAAGACTACTTCCCGGACTGGAAAACCCGGCATAGTGATCGCTACCGAGAAGGAGGCATCCAAAGCGGCGGCTGCACGGGGGTACTGGGCGCAGTGTGGCCCCGAGGTGGAGCGGCACATCGATTTGCGCGAGGGGGACCTGTTGGAAACATTGAAGGACGGATTGCCGGAGGAGATCGATCTATTGCTTCTTGATAGTAAGTTCATCTGTATCAAACCCTAGGGAACAGGTTCGCTGACATGGGACTCCTCAAAGTCTGGTCTGCGCTGGCCTTGCCAACGCTGCAAACGGTCTTGCCTCGTCTGCGTCGCGGTGCAGTGGTGCTCACCGATAACACCATCTCGGGAGCCAAAGGATATGCCGATCTGCTGGCATTCTTGCGGTCCTCTGAAAATGGCTTCCAGAATATGACGCTGCCGTTCTCCAATGGCTTTGAGATGAGTGTTTACTTACCGTAATTGGAGCTGTCGTTGTCCAGGGTGTATTTACTATAACTGTAGAACCTCAGGGCTGAGTAACGACAATACAGCTTCTGAACAGTTGACTATAAGTTATCGTATTGTAACATTGTACGACACGGAGTAATATTCAGAGAAGGCGGCTTAGTAAGGCGGGCGGCATGTCTAAATTCCTACTGGAGAGAATTAAATTGTCGCTGCGGTTGAACTTCATCACTTGACGATCTCTCCCAATGTCAGCGGCGAAGAAGCTCAGGCTTAGATCCGCTGGGCATAGACCAGACCCTGGTGAGGCCAGGGAAGAGTCGGCGGATCGACGAGAACAAGAACAGAAAAGAGCGTTTCGATGTCGGTTCTGTGCCAAGGATTTTCTCCGCAACGAGCACTTACGGAGACACGAACGACTCCGTATGGGATCTATCTCTTTACCCCAGCATTTTAGAACTGACTCACAGGTCAACAGATACTAAAGAAAAACCGTTTCGCTGCATCAGCTGTACTGAGGCATTCACCCGCCGGTATGTGCTCGTCTTCCACGTCAGGACAATCAACACTGAGATAACGCCACAGCGACCTGCTGGCCCGTCATACTCGAATGTCCCATAACGTCTCCCCAAATGGTGGCAATGCTCAGACTTCAGATAGCCTTGTCACGCCTGCCACTACGCGTGATACTAACCCATCGGGACCGGTGGCCAATGTAGACAGCAGGGCTCCTGTGCTGGATGGCTCTTCCCCAGCCTTCACAACTCCAGACAGCGGTTCTACGCTACCCCGAGGAATGCTAGAGCCCCCCCTTACCTCCAATTCTTCGTTGATCGATCCCCTCCTAATAACGACGACGGGGACACCACTCAGCACGCTGCATACAGCATGGCCAGAACCAACCAGCAATTTCGGGGACTTTGCTTTCTTCATCGACAGTATGGCGATGCCGTACGGAAACATGAACCCAGCGCTATCGATAGAGCAACCTATCTTGTCCTTCTCATCAACTTCGCTCTTCTCCGATGTCCCCCAGACTCAATCGTCGCAGCCGAACGCCGATATGCCCCAGCCTGTGGAGGCCGATCCACCAGCGCCGCGTTTGTTTGATGACTTCACCTCCACGCTCCCCTCCTTCGACCCTCCTCCTAAGTCCAGTGCGGAGCCATGGAAAGTCACTCAGGAAGTCTGGGATCATTTTCTCACGCAGATCCAGAGCTTTGCGGCGCTACTTCCTCCGCAATTCTTTCTTCCATCCCGCCACACGATGACCCGCTATATCACCACTTACTTCACCGGCTTTCACCGACACCTACCCTTTGTCCATATCCCGTCGTTCTCGCCCATCAAGTGCCCAGTGGAGCTGGTGTTAGCCATGGCGACTATTGGCGCGCAGTCAGCCTTCGATCACGCCAACGCCATCATGTTTTATCGGACCTCCCTGGCCATCGTCCAGGAGCGGCTGCACCGTAGAAAGACCCAGCGACGGGATCAGTGTTTTCCTGCGCCAGCAAGTCAGCCTACTGAGCCACAAACGAGTCCAATCGACCCGCTACCTCCTGCACAAACGCTACTCATACTCATGGCGATGGCAACCTGGGGCAACTCTCACGCCATCTTCAACGAAGCTGTCGGATTGCAAAATACTCTCGCCAACTACATCCGCGATGAAAAGCTATTGGCGCCCCCGCCTCCACAAGACCCATCGTGGGCTTCCTGGGTCCAAGCCGAAGGCATGAATCGCACCATCACCATAATCTTCTGCTTCTTTGTCTTCCACACCATTGTGTATGACACCCCGCCCGCGATCCTGAACTGCGAACTCCAAACCCGTCTCCCCTGCCGTGAGTCTGCGTGGGAAGCCCCCACCCAGGCAGACTGGATCGAAGCCCGCAAGAGCCTATCTGCAGAGCCCACCTTCCAATCCGCATTCTCCCGCCTCTTCACCGAGCAGCAGCCCACCTCCAGCTTAACGCCTTACTACTCGCTCGGCGGATACACACTAATCCTCGCCATAATCCAACACATCTACTTCCTTCGCGCCACCAATCACCACCGGCAGCAGAGCGAAGGCTGCCTCAGCCCCAGCAGGACAACAACGATACCCCCGCCAGCCATTGCGGCCGTCGAGCAGGCCCTCAAAAACTGGCAGCTGGGCTGGTCCCGCGACCCGGAATCGTTCCTGGGGCCCGGCGGACCCAGCGGGCCGATCTCCTTCAACGCGACCGCGCTCCTCCGCATGGCGTACATCCGGTTGAGCATCGACGTGGGGCCGTGGCGCGCCCTTACCGCCCACGATCCCCGTGAGATTGCGGCGTCGATGTACGCTTATTACCGCGGGCACTACCACCGCGCCGTCCACCACCGGCTCACCCGCACGGTCCTCTACTCCGCCCACGCCCTCAGCATTCCCGTCAAGATCGGCGTGAACATCGTGGCGCGGAACCAGGCGTTCGCGTGGTCGCTCCAGCATGCGCTCTGCGCGCTCGAGTGCGCTTTTGTCATGAGTCAGTGGTTGATGGCGATGGAGACGCGGCGGCGGCGACGGGATTCCAACCCGACGCTCAATTTGGCCGATGAGGAGCGTGATGAGCAGGTTCCGAGAGATCGAGGCAATAATAATCATCAGGAGAGGGAGGAGGAGGAGCGGTTACTGGCGTACATCAAGGACATGGTGGCGGAAGCGGATCCCACCGGCGAAATGGCGGCGAGTGGGGGTCGCAGCAGTTCCCCGCAGGTGGATCTCTGCATTCACGTCCTCAAAATCTGGCACAAGCTGTTGAGTGGAGACGCGGTGTGGGATGTAGTCCGCTTGATTGGACGAGTGTTGGAGGCCTATTGGAGGATTCTGGAGGGAGAGACTACCTAGTACCCAGCATCGGGGGTGGGGTTCCGAGGGAGCACCTGTCCGTAGTCCGAGGATGGCTCGTCAGTCTGCGCATGTATACTGAGTAGAGGAGGCGATGATCATTTACCCATCTGGATGGGCTCTCATCATACCCCTTTCACTCAAATAGTGAAAGAATCGAGATTTTTCATGGTTTGCATTGGCAAGATATAGACATGCTTGGCCATCGGTGCAGGCAGTGCTACATTGCATCCAGAATCGATCAACAACCGATCGCTGACCCCGTTGCATTACAGGGTCATCGCATTGCCAGCGTGTGACAAGGAAGCATCGAAGTCCCCAATCCACCCTTTAGCTCTGCGTATACAGATCTCCTCGCACATACTTGAGACCCGTATCGCAGCCCACAGTCACCACCGTTTTCCCGGCCCTAATTCCTTGGCCAGCTGCAGCGCGGCGACCACGTTCAGCCCAGAAGAGGTACCCAGGAGAAGACCTTCCTCCCTCGCCAGCCGTCGACACATGGCACGTCCCTCGGCTTCGTCGATGGCCCGGGCCTCATCATACCAATCCCGGTTGAGCAGAGGCGGGGGGAAGCCAATACCGATCCCCTCCACCGAATGTTCCCCGCCATGACCCTGGGTCAACGCCGGTGCCGAGGCCGGCTCCAGGACCGCGACACGACACCCCGGCCACCGCTGCTTCAGCGTCCTTCCGACCCCCATCACCATGCCGGCCCCGCCGATCGCCCCGCAGAAGGCGTCAATCGGCCCCGGAATCTGCGCCAGCACCTCGCGCCCCAGCGCCTCGTAGCCCGGGAAGACGTCGGGATTGCTGAACTGATCAGCATAGTAGTAGTCGTGCCCGTCGCCCTGGGCAGCGATCTGCCGCGCTCGCTCGCGCATGGCGGGGATCAGCCGCGGGGTGATCTTGCCGGTCCCGCTGGGCACGAGGTCGAGATCCGCCCCGAACGCGGTCATGGTGTTGAGCTTCTCCGGCGCAAATGCATCCGACGAGACCACCCGGAAGGCGTAGCCCTTGACGGCACAGACAAACGCCAGCGAGGATCCCGTGCTACCACCCGTCGCTTCTACGACGGTCATCCCGCGCCGCAGATCCCCGCGCCGCTCCGCTTCCTCGATCACCGACAGCGCCATGCGATCCTTGTACGACCCCGTGGGATTCAGGCTCTCCAGCTTCACGAAGACCCGGGCGCTGTCGGGAGGGACCACGTGCGTCAGTTCAACACATGGCGTGTTACCAATCGCGCCCAGGGCACTGGTGGTACTAGGTCGAACGGACATGTCGTGGCACAGAAGGGAATGACTGACGATGCGATGCGTAAGGAGCAGAGAAAAGGGAGAGGGTTAGAGACGGAGGAATTGATGGTACCAGATGATTGGAACTTCGGTGCAAAAATCTATTGAGCTTGTTTTCGTGTCATTTCATCAGGTGGACCACTATGTTGGTGCGTTAATTGCATGGGCTTTATGTGTACTGTACAGACTCCGGGCTGCCTCTAATGATCGAGAGCGAATTGGGGTTCCGCGATATCAAGAAAGCGCTTCTCCAAAATGCCAAGCCAGCCCTACCGTGGACACCGACCATCTTACAGTACGTATCTGACTCTTCGCAATTCAGGTAACGGTAAAGGAAAAATAGTATCGCCCTCGTCATGCCCAATGCAAGAGTCTTTTTCCCTTTGAAATCTATAACATGTGTCGCTGGGTGGAGTGAACCATGGCCATCACCCGCCCGGTACAGTACAGCACAGTACAGGCCGATGACCGTCGGGGAGCAAGGGTCGAATTCCGGAGACGGGTCAATTGACATGATGTATAAATCCTCGTCTCTTCCGTTGGAGTATTCAGCTGGATCTGGCCAGAACAGCAAGATTGCAGAATAAAGCACAGACTGTTGCAGAAGATTGTGTTAATTCCAATTTAGATTCGTCCGCGGCTGTACTACCTCAAGAATATGACCGACTTGTCGGAAAATGGACAGGTACAGCCTCCGTCCATCGAGAGCCCTAAGAGGAACTACTCCCGTCGGTACGTCACGCCCTCCAGCCAGGGACCCCCAGCTTGGCATTGGACTAATCCTCGTTAGCCACTACATTTTGATTGTATTGTCCGGATTTATGCTCAACTTCACCGCGTGTGGGGTTGTCTTCGCCTACGGTGTGTACCAGGCCGAGTATGAGGCCATGGCTACTCGCCCAGGCACTCCGTTCACCGGAGCCTCCTCCGCCGAGATCACCTTGATCGGCAGCCTGTCCTCGGCCATGATGAAACTCAGTGCGCCCTTTGTCGTCGCATGGTGCAAGTGTTTCAGTCCCCGCATCGTCGTATACGTGGGGGGGCTCGTCTTCGGGGTGGCGAACATTCTCGCCAGCTTTGGGACCGCGTCCTGACACTTTCAGCTCTCGCAGGGGCTTCTTCTTGGCATCGGCAGCTGTCTCTCGTACATGCCTTCAATGATTGTTCCACCGACATGGTTCTCCGAACGCCGCGGCCTCGCCCTGGGCATCATCTCCGCCGGCACCGGCATCGGGGGCCTGGTGTTCGCCCCCGTGATTCAGGCCTGTATCTCCGCCCTCGGCTTCCGGAATACCCTCCGCCTGGTCGGCTGCCTGTCGACCTTACTGATCTGTGCCTCGGGCGCCGTACTGTACTGGGAGCCCCGGACAGCAGGCCGTCTGCGGGAGGAAGCCGCATCGAAGTCGCTGCTGACTCGACTGTGCCGGGTGCCCCTGCCGCCCTGGGCCCTGGTCCGATCGCGCAAGTTCGTCGCGCAGCTGCTCAACGCGGCGTTCCAGAGCGCGGCCTATTACACCCCGGTGTACTATATCTCCTCGTACAGACAGACGTTGGGCTACAGCGAGTCCGAGGGCGCCAACTGGACCTCGCTGAGCAACGCGTGCAATGCGATCGGCAAGGTCGCCGTGGGATATCTGGCCGACTACCTGGGGCGTCTGAACTCCTTTTTCGGGGTCACGCTGCTGAGCGCGGTGGGCGCGGTGGGTCTCTGGATCCCGAGTACGTTGCTGGGAGGGTCCTCGCCGCACGAGCTGCCGGCGGCGCGGGCCTGCTTCATCGTGTTCACCGTGCTCTACGGCCTGTTTGCGAGTGCCTACATTGGGCTGTTCTCCCCGGCCCTGGTGGAACTCTTCGGCCTCGAGGAAATGCCCCGCATCACCGGCATCATGTACATGGTGCAGGGCGCCGCCGGGTTGGTCGGCACCCCCGTGGCGGGGCTCCTGGTCCGCACGTCCCACGGTGAGACCACCACCCCGCGCAGCTACTTGGATATGGCGATCTTTGTCGGCGCTCTGATGGTGGCATCCACCCTGGCTGTCGCCTGGGTGCGAGTGGAGCAAGAATTCGATCGGGTTCGTGGGCGTCGTTCGTGGGTATGGAAGCTCTAGAGTTGACTCCGGGGGGGGGGGGGGGGGGTATAGGACAATGTTTATGGCCTTTTCGGGGCCTCGGCCGGGGAATCGAGGTAGCCTTTGTGGCCGCGAGACAGGTAGCAAACGAAGATGGCTCAACTAATTCGCTCTGGCGCTGTTCTTCGGTGGACTATAGGTCGAGTAGACCGTAGCGATGCTTATCGCCCTGACGGCTGCTCTTGGGCACCGCGGACACGTGGACTGACGCGTTCCGACAAGCAATGCGGATTGCTGGTACTCTTAGCTATCGGGCATGCCCCCTCCTCCAGCTAGTCCTTCCACCATTGGGCTTTGTACGCGTAACACACTATAGATAGATAGAATCACCACATCAAATAGAGCACAGAGACACTGGGTGTGCAATTAAAAGCAGGAAGAATTAAGTTATACTTTCGCACTTGATACTGAAGCGCCGTTCGGCTATGGATAAGCACTGGTGCCAAGGTCCTGTCACTACTAATTATTCCAGGTGTAAGGAGAATAAGCATAGGTTGGAACTCCATCAAAACTGTCTAAATGCTTTATCATAGCACGGTCTATCTCTAGTAGGATCCCAGAAGCAAATAATAATGGGAAGTATAAGATAGATATCAGAAAGGGATTATATACTAAAGGGGTAATATTATCGGTGTGAGGTCAATACCAGCTCTTCTAACAGCTGCATTATTAGCGCTAACTTTGGATTTCCCATTCTAGGCTCAGGACCCCCATTATGCAAGTAAATCTAGTAACTTCTTCAGCCAGGCAGGTCTTCTACAGGCAGCAGACTTGATATCGGTACTGGGTACAAGAATGGAGGACCTCCCAAAAATAGCGGGAACCTAGGCCCCATTAAGTAGACCTGCTGGATCGCCGGTCTCACTATCTGTAGAGCTTGGCTTTTTTAGTATCAAGCTTTTAGGGTTTATACAGGCTACTTATAGCTGGTGATATACAGTAAAAGTACTTCGACCGGAGAATGACGCCAAAGGGCCCGAGTCCCACTTTCTACATAGTACCCGTTATAATTGGCTATCTCGTCTACATTTGCTGGTTTCCACTGCTCTGATTCGTGGTGACCTCTGCTGATTAATGCCCTGCTTATGTGAGCTGTCTCCACTCCTTCCTTCCTTTCAGAGTACAAACACACATCATGGATGATCCGACTGCACTTCACTTACTTCATCTTCTACTTAATTTGATCGACATGGTCCCCGTTTGATCCGTCCCTGCCCCTTTACTGAAGGTCCCCTCGAGGCTCAAAGCACTGTACGGCTTTTCTGGATCTAGGAATCTTGTATGTAGCCGAAATGTGCCAGCCTGCACGATCTGCACCCAAGCCAGTGCCTCGCGTGCATGGCCACGGGCACTAAAACCCGCTTTATGAGCCCAATCGAAACCAACCACAGTGATTGGATCTGGGGGGAAAGACCCCTGTCACGCCAGCTTGCAAGGCCAAGTGCTTGGCTGTCATATTTAAAAGAACCAGATCTCGCGCAATCATCCATCAATCGACCCCTTGTCAAATCCCAACTCTGAGCATGGAGTCACAGATCGAGACAAAGAGCCCATCGAAATCCCAGAAAAGGACGTTCTCGAAGAGATCCCGCACTGGGTGTCGGACCTGTCGGTGAGTACCTATTGCCTAGTGGTCTGCCTTGGACTTGACAGACTGGCTGGGATTGGCTAAAGGATCTTGAATGCACAGAGCTCGCCGTGTCAAATGCGACGAATCTCCTGGTGCATGCAGCAACTGCACAAGCACCGGTCGCACTTGCGCATATGACATGCAACGGCTTCCCCCAGGAGGTGGGCGTAAGAGAAATACAACCAAAATCGTCATATTGTCGGCTCCTAACAGCGCATCGGCCACCATCCGCGCCGCTATCGCAGCCAAGTTCCAGTGGACGGTGACCTCTGATGAGAGCCGCTGTCTCTCCTTCTTCCAGCACCGGTCTGTCCCGCAACTCGTGGGCTACTTCGACTCGCCTCTGTGGCGGGAACTGATTCTGCGGTTGTCCTGCACCGAACCTGCAGTGTACCATGCGGTCGTTGCACTCGGGGCAGTGAACCAGGCCAATGAGATGGCAGGTCGGACTCCAAGGCCCGGACAGCAGCAGCACCTTCTGCGGAATGCCTGGTACGGCTTCGCGCTGGAACAGTCCTCCCGTTCATTTGCCCTCATCCATAAGAGACGCACGTCACACGACCCGCAGCTTCAAGAAGTCATTCTGGTTTGCTGTTTGCTTTTTATTATTTGCGAGTTACTGCGTGGAAACGTCACCGAGGCCACCTGCCACCTGCAAGGAGGTCTGCGTATCCTGCATTCGATGAATATCGAGCGCGGCTCATCGGGGTTGGAACTCAGCTGCGGGGGAGTGGACGAGTGTGTCGTGGAGTCCTTCATGAACTTTCAGGAAGGGTCAATCTACCATGGTCTGAAGGAGCCCCTGCGTTTCGACAGCGAGTTCGTCTATGATCGACCCTACGAGGCCTACCTCCAGCCCTTCCAGAGCCTCTCCTACGCGCGCAGGGCCTTCCGGCCCCTCCAGCACACCGGCTTCGAGCTGATCGCGACGTGCATGTCGGCATCCGAAGCCGACATCGCGAGCAATTACGCCACGATCCACTTGCAGCAGCACCGACTGATCGCCCTGCTGACACGGTACCTGCAGGCGCTGGACGATTTCTGCCTCCGCACCTTCGGAACCACCTCCTTCACCTGCCCCGTCATGGCCGCGAGCCGGGACGCCGCGCGCCGCAAGGACTTCCGCGAGGTCGAGCTGACGCGGCTCACCTGCCTCGCGCTGCTCCTGGGGCTGAAGACCGCGACGTACAGCAAGCAGCAGCCACCGATGCCCGACCGGCACCTCTGCGAGCGGCGGAGCCTGCTGGCCGCGGCGCAGACCGTCATGCGCAAGTTCGACGGCCCGGACCGCCGCCCCGCCTTCGCGCCCAGCAGCACCGTCGTCGCCGCCGTGTACATCGCCGCCCACGTCTGCCCGGACCACGCCTTCTACTGCCTCGCCAGCGACCTGCTGCACTCTTGGAGCGCCGAGGAGGGCTTCATGAGCTCCACCAGGAACGCCAAGATTCTGGACGAGTCGCTCAAGCTGTACCTGTCCCAAATGTGGCGCAGCGCCGCCCCCTTGCCGGACGGTGTGACCTTCTCCACGGACGCGACGGGCTGCCAGGTCACAGCCCACCTGGCGTACCGCGCGGATGGGGTCGAGAAGCGGCGCTCCATGGTCCTCGAGAGGGATGAGTCTCTCGTGGCGGAGCTGCGGGCCATCGACAACTCCCAGGACTGGGTGTGTTCGCGCGCGTTGGGGTTGCTGGAGCGGAGAAGTTACCTGTGAGGGTTGAGCGTGTTTCGGCCACAACCTCGCTAGGATTTCGGGCCAACATATGTGTACATATTCGAAGGGTGCCCCTGGCGCGTGCCCTTGGCGTGATGGAAAAATCAATCTTGCAGATGTTCATTCACTGCGCTGCGCTCATGTGTCATGGTGCATGAATCTATGGTTCATCCCGGCTGAATCATCCCTGTGAATCTTCTTGTAACCGGATTTCCGACATCCAGAGTTAGTGGGTAGTCCCAATTGACTATGCGCGTGACGCCCGGGTGTTTCCATGATAAACCTAACAAAGTAGGCTGGTTGAGCTGTGCTAAATTGTTTTGCAGCCTAGGGTGGCAGGAAGCACGGTCCGGGCTAGGGAGCTAGATCACCTGGACTCAGCTGGGGCGGCGAGGTATATAAGTCCTTCTTGCCCTTTCTATTCTCATTGCTCAACATTACCAGTGCTACCGCCACATAGTGCTCCCCCTCTAAGATGTAAGAGCTGTGAGCACGAAGGCCAGACTGCGCAGCTATCTCTCTTTCTTCTAATCAGACGGGGGACCCTATTTGTTTAATGTGTTCTCGGTATGACCAGCCTCTGGTGTCTATTATACGTCACACTGCAGATAAATCAAGGCTTTCCAAGGAAAACGTTGCACGACTTCTCAGTCGCTTATCCTGTGCGGCCGGCATGTTTGATTAATACTGTACGATTCTCAGCTCTGGAACCTGCGTGGCTGCTGTCGCACTGCAGATGGTTCATGTATCCACTGTACTCGAGGGACGATCTACGTCGACTTTATCTCAAACAACTCTCAATGAAGTCAACCAGTCTACATCGTCACGGCTGGTGCGGACTTCGTGGCTGCCGTCGTTGCGAATCGCCTACTCTCACCAGATTGGCATAAAAGCACCCAAATCATTTGCCGATCGATTGCGATCATGACTATGATCATCGCAGTGGGCCACCAAGCTGGGTATGATGGTTTTGCAAGCGGGCTGAAAGCTGATCAGTGGGTTCAAACATTGTCAGCGATGGTTCTCGCGGATGCAGTCGCAGTCAGCTCCACGTTGCTTTTTCGGGGCAGGAGTGATGGTTTGCAGGGATCTCTGCAGACCCAATCTTCGGGGTTGTGACTTTCTGTGGAAAGGCTGCTCATTGCATACATATATGAGTTTTGTCTCAGATGTTCCAGCACAGTGGTTCATGTCTCACTCCAACATCGACTGTCCTGGGATTTAGTCACGGGCTTTATACATTTCCGTCGTGGTAACGCGACAGGCTGAAACCTCTGACTACCCCCCTCTGCCCTCTCCAGCCTCGTCTCGAAAGGGCTCCAGCATGCGTTCTCAAGATGAAGTCGATCTGGAACAGAAACCCTTGCTCGACCGACGCTCGCGGAAGCTCTTCCAGATCCTGAACTACAACTGGGCGATCTTCCCAAGCACAGCCTTTTTGTCGTTCCTAGGTACATCCAAGAATTCTCTGTGATTATTCCATGCTTACTGGTTCCGCTATAGGAGTATATTCTCTGATGGTGTGGGCGGGAGTTCCTGAGGCGATCGTGCAACCGGGGGTGCTCTGGACGCGCGACTGCACGATCATCACCCTCATCATCACCCCTTTCCTCCTCGCCCAGTTCCCCCCCTACCACATCCTCTGGGGGATGTGTCTCCCCATACGACCGTTCTCATACGCCCAGGCCCCGAAACAACGGTCCTTCCGCAGCCTGCGCGTCGTTCTTGTCACCAAAGCGACCAACATTCAGGGAAGTATTATCCCCTTCTCAGCCTCTGTAACATCCTGCCCAATGCTGACCGAAACAAAAAGACCGTCCTCAACACCGTCGAGCTCTGGAAACCCCTCAGCCAAGTCTTCCGCATCAGCTTCGTCGTCGTCATCGACTCAGCCCACAACCCCTTCACTACCCTCCTCCCCAGCTGGGTCGAGCAGCTGCAGTGCCCGCCCTCCTTCCAGGCCGCGCGCGCCACCCACAAAGCCCGCGTGTTGGAGTGGTACCGGCGGCACAGCAGCCTCACCGACCGGGACTGGGTGCTGCACCTGGACGAGGAGACGGAGATCGACGACTACCTGATGCAGGCGTGTTTGGATTTCATCGAGCGGGGGAGCGATGATATCGGGATGGTAAGCCACACTTACCCTGTGCCATTAGCATTAACCCCCCTTCCGTCTTTCTCATCCTCCCTTCCATCCTCTCTTCCCATGCTCGAGCAAAGCTAATCAACCGAAAGGGAACAATCTACTACAACGCCTCCTCGCACTGGAAACACCCCCTCACCACCGTCGCGGAGATCCTGCGCATCGCCGAGAACTTCGGGCGGTACCAGCTCCCCGTGCGGTTCTTCCGGCAGCCGCTGCTCGGGTTCATGCGCGGGAGCTTCCTACTGCTGAACGGCACGGTCGAGAACGCGGTGACCTGGGACACGGAATGTATGACGGAGGATCATTGGTTTGCTTTCTATGTAGGTGCCGCTTTCCCTACTGTCATCCGCTCTCAGCACAAACCCAACCCAGCAGAACCAAGCGACTAAACTCCGGAGGGGTAGGCCGCGAAGCAAGGCTTCAAATTCGGATGGCTGAACGCGATCGCGCGCGAGCAGGCCCCCTCCACGCTGGGCGATCTGCTCCGCCAGCGGCGTCGGTGGTACAGCGGGGAGCTGATGATCCCCAGCTGGGCGCTGCGCGTGATGGTGGCGTTTAATATGTTGGAGTTTGTGGCGCATTTCTGCTTGTACGTCCCCCCCCCCCCTTGAGAATCTGTATTGGCCAGACGTGCAGCCTTCGCTAGGCGTGCAGCCTTCGCTAGGCGTGCAGCCTTCGCTTTTCAATTGGAGGCGGTTACTGATGCTTACTCCGGTGTGGGACAGAATGATGACCATGATCTACGGCGGCTGGGCCATCTCCGTTTCCTACGGCTTCTTCGTCTGGACCACCTTCAACCTGGCCGTGCTGCTGCACGGCCGCGTCGTCGCGTGTCTGCTGGAGGATCTGGACTGCCGTGCCACGGCGCTGCTGGATATCCCGGTGCATGTGGTGCTGACGGTTGTGCTGGCGCCGGTGGTGGATTTGGTGCAGGCGGCGACGTTTCTGTGGACGGTGGTGCGGCCGACGAGGGAGTTTACGGTTATTCGGAAGGATTAGCAGCCCCCAATGGAAGGGGAGTGGTAGGGTCAGGATGATAAAAGGGGGTTGCGGGTGTTGCTGTGCTCGTAAAGGGGAGGGGGGTGGAGGGTTCACTTGCTAGTGGATACTTTGATAACTGTTTGCTATTATCTCGATAGCGTTCTGCGTCTTCTTCACTGCATACCTCCTATCTTTGTTCAAACTCGGGTATCTGCCCTGATTGAAAATCCAAGAGGAAAGGGAAAGGAATGGGGTAGTACCCCAACTCACCATCCCAACCAAGCCCAGTCGCAATCTCAATCGCCCTGGACCCACATCCACACAGTTCCATCCACGTGTTTTCAACTCTTGCCGGTATCCTGACAGTCGCATCACGAGCGATGACATGATATAAGTCGGCATAAGAATGTACATGCCCGAAACTGAGCTGTATCCGTTCGTAAGGCAGGGGTAGACCCCAATTCGACTGCATCGGGGTTCGGTTCATGTATGGTTCGGGGACCATGTTGTGAGGTACGAGGTGAGTGTGCGGTTCAGTTTAGTATAATGATTCTCTGCTGTTGTGGTAATGATATGTTTTACTGTAGTGCTCTGGCTTGTTTTCTGGTTTTAGTGACCTGGTTGCTGGGCTGTGCGGGTCTTGTGGGGTGTGAATCAGCGCTGTGTTTATTGTGTCTGAACATTTATCATTTATCTCGGTTAATTTCTGGGATACTTTTGGGGATTGTATGTTGTATCTCCATAGATAAAAAAAAAATAATAAATAGAAGAAAGGGGAAAGGAATAAGAGGGCAAAAAAAAAGAGATAAAAAGAGAAAGATAACTTATAGTTCTTGTGGTAAATTGTAGTATGGTGGCGGAAGTAATTGGCACCTCCGCAGTGGATCATGCTTAAGCCATGCTCTTCCGATATATATTACTCCCTCAAACCCAGCACAATACCACAGCCTCATCATCCCCAACAAAACATCAAATCACAAATTCCAAGCCCCATTAAAAAACACACTCTCTCCATCAGCCACAATTTAACCCAACAAAACCCCAGTGCCACGCATAAACTAACGACACTCAAAAATCAACATATCGCAAACCGGAGGCATCCCCAGCCAATCCATTAACACGCCCTGGTCAAGTTTCCCAAAAAGAAGAGCAACTCCAACAACTTGTCTCGATGGTGTAGTTGGTTATCACGTGGGTCTCATATCTCGCATATGACTCGGAAGCGCAACTTCTGGGCGATCCCAAGGCCGGGAGTTCGAACCTCCCTCGGGACATTTCTTTTTTGCTTTGCCCCAATTTCCTCCTCCAGGGGTGGATTCGTTGTCATGGTCGTGATTGTGTGATATGGATTTTTTTTGGCGTTCCACAAAAATAGGGTTGGTTGTTGTGTCATCACTACTGGAAACATACTTGATCCCCGGATCGGTTGGGCAGCCGAAACCTTCAGAGGACGACGGTACGGTGGTACACACGCGAGTTTGGCCTTACCGCAGCATGACGATGCAGACTCACCCCATTTACAGGCCGGGGAGATAACCACCCGGGAGAACCGTCGCACTCAGCCCTCGCGCACCCCAAGCCCTGTATACAGATACAGAAAAGCAGAACCATCAACCCACGAACTCATCCCCGGTGCAATTCCCTAATGAGTCCCAAGCATGCTTGCACCCCCAAATTCAACTCCTAACATGATAGCTTGGAAATGTAAGTAGTCATCCGAATGGGCCTATGGCGCAATTGGTAGCGCGTACGACTCCAGATCGTAAGGTTGCCTGATCGAGCCGGGCTGGGCTCATCCATTCTTTTTTGTTCCCCTCAGAGAATCGTACCCTAACTCGCCTCCTGTTCACAAGGGTCCGTACCCCGATTGACCTCGCTATTCACAACGACAGGTGATTGGTTTACAATTACACTTATCAACAACCCAACCCGAAGAAAAAAATAATATCATGTTGAAAAATCTAGCTTCTATTGTTCTATTACAAAAGACAGGACGATCCTGATCCAAGCCAGGCAACTAAGCCCACCCGCGCTTCTGCTTCCACTGCATGAACTTGGCGGCGAAGGGGAACAGCAGGATGGAGAGGGCGATCCAGATGAAGAGCACCGCGAAGTCGAGGCCGATGCGCGAGTGCGTGTCGAAGAGGATGGTGCGGAGGGCTTCGACGACTGTTTTTATTTCTTGGGTGTTAGTATCGTCCTTCCACGGGAAACGAGTGCAAAATATCGGGATAAGGGAAGGGAGAAAAGGAACGTACTCCGATGCAGAGGCCACGCGTACCCCCAGCGGAAGAACCCCGGCGCCAGATCGAGGGCATAAAACCCCGTGGCGACGTTGGTGATGACCCAGAAGATCAAAAACAGCGAACTCCAGGGGAACCCGATGATCATGGCCATGTTCTCGCAGGGGAAGCCCAGGGCGCACATGCCGACCCAGTTCAGCATCCAGTACACGACGAACGAGCCGTGGCCGTAAGCGTTGGGGTTGTCGGCCGGCTGGACGGGCGAGGCCGGCGGGTTGGTGAAGGGGATCTGGAAGGCGAGCGAGACGAAGCTGTAGAACAGCGAGAGGCAGAAGTAGGTCCCGATGTTCGAGGCGATGCGCCACAGCAGCCACTGCGGAATCTTGAGCGCGGGGCTGTTGGGCGTCTTGAGGAAGCGCAGGTGCACCGGCATCATGAACGGGGTGTTGAAGAAGGCCAGGATGATCAGGTAGATCAGCCCGATGCTGGTGGCCGGCGAGATGACGGCCGGGCCGAAGAAGCGCAGGTCGACCTGCGTGAAGCCGATGGCTGGGTTGAGCGCCTGCGCCGGGGTTTGCGTCAGGTTGGTGGTGGTGCTGCTGGTGAGGTTCTGGATCCAGCGCGGCCCGAAGTAGCTGCGCACCGCTTGCTCCAGCCCCCAGAATTCCGGCAGGATGTAGTTGTAGTAGGTGGACTCGTCGCGCGCGCTGATGATGACGAATTCGGCGGCGCCGTAGGGGTCGTACGAGGTGTTGCCGCCGGTGACGGCCCCCTGGAGCAGGGCGGTCGCGTTGGCGTTGATGATGATGGCCGCGTAGGCGTGCTCGTCGTACACGCTCTGCCGCACCGCCCACGGGTCGTGGTCGAAGTCCGCCGGCGAGCGGATCGTATACCCCAGTGCCTCCGGGTTGGTGCGGACGGTCTCCTCGACCACGTGCGTGATGGCGGGGCCCACGATGGGCGTGGTGTTGCGATAGGGCTCCACTTGGCCGTCGAAGTCGACCACCCAGACGGTGAGGTTCTCGAACCGCGTCTCGAGCTTGTATTGCACGGCCCAGAATAGCGACAGGATACCCAGGATGAAGGTGCAGAGAATTAATACTGCGAAAGTCAGCTTTGAGGTGCACTCGTTACCGCCAGTTGGGCAAACTCACCGGTCTTCCCCCATTGGAGGAACACATGACGTCGGACTTGCGATAAGGCAGGATCGAAAAACGAGACGCTGGCGGGTGGCGCAGAAGGCTTGACTCCCGTCTCGGCCTTGTCAATGGACTCCTCGGCGCTGCTCATCCTGAAGGAACAGAAGGATCACGAGGCGCAGAGATGGATGAGGATCTAGGATGTAACCAACGCAGGGCAGGCGGGCGGGCGACTTTTAACCCTAAGTACGGCGGGATCGCTGTATGCATCATTCTTGCTCGACGCTGACTGCGTAAATCCGGGCTATTAACTCCTTCCAGTAATCGAACTCTTTATCTCCGGCACAGATGCAGATCCATGGCTCTCATTGGTCGGGCCTTCGGCTTCGATCGGGGCCCGAAGGGACGTGAGAAGATTTGCTTAGTGATCTAGATTATCGGGGGTCTGAGATCAGGGGACTGAATCCATGGCTCAGTTTGTGCCGGATTGCCGGATCTCGGAAAGTTGCGTATCTTATAAGTTACATTCACCCGCAATCCATCCATCCCTTGCGCTAACTACCGCATCTTATCTGATTGACCCCTCCATCCTACTACAAATAAATAAGCAACGCCTCGGACTCTTGCACAGTGAAGGTCGCCTGGCCGCTCTGCACGGTTGTTGTCTCCGCCTCCGCCGTGCCTTGCAATGCACACGTCCCGTTGGCAAATGTCTGTCCCCCGATGGTGATGGCCCCCGCTCCCACCGTCGTTGTCGCTGCATCGCCTGTCAGTCGCTTGGCTGATACGGTGGTCGAGGGCAGGCCGCTCAAGCTGATGTTGACGCTGCTCCGTGTCCCCGAGGTGTAGTACTCCGAGTTGTACAGCAGCACCCGCGTCGGCGCTCCGCTGCTGTCGTAGATCGCATACGCGGCCACCCGGCTGTCGCCGCTGTCCAACTGCGCGACCCGCGCCGCTCCCCCGAGTGCCAGCGCCGCGGTATAGGCGCCAAAGAACGGGGCGTTGACGGTCTCGTCCCACCAGCAGTATGGACCTAGATGTTTCAGTGTCAGTGTTGCCCTCGTACTACACTTGATCGACCGCTTACAGTTCCCGATAGTTCCCTGATGGAAATACAGTTGCTGCCGACCGTGTCAGTCTTGGAAGATCAGCATCCACGTGGACGAGTTGTTTACTCACCTTGATCCCCAGGATAACAGCCTGCATCGCGTAGTCCAGGATCCACAAGCCCGCGCCAAAGGTGGGACTAATCCCCCCGCCTCCCCCGGTCGCTACCCTGCAGTTAGTTGGGTTACCATTTTCAGGAGGGAGGGGAACGCACCGGAGTTGGTTTCTCCCATCACGAAGTCCTTGTCGAGATCATGCGCCGCAGACACCTGCGACTGAAACGCCGTCACGCCCTCCACGATCGCCTCGTGGCTCATCAGCCCATCGAGATCCGCGGTGGAGGCGGAGTAGGGGTAGTAGTGGTGGCAGAAGGAGCGCACGTATTGGGTGGCATCCGTGTCTTCCTCCTCGCCTACGAGGTTGGTCACCTCGTAGGACCCCAGTCCGAAGAAGACGCCCGCTTGGATGATGGCGGTCTTGTCGAGTGCGGTTCCGACCGAGCTCTGCCATGCAACCTGCGACACAGCGTCGGCGGCTGCGGTCCAGGATTTGCCGT